TTGGCGCGGAGTGTATATATATATATATATATATATATATATATATATATATATATATGGTCATTCCACTAAACGTATCCAATCGAAATATCTCAAACTGCCAATAAGAACGTATCAGTACAATAAAACCAATAACTCATAAACTCATTGATAGTAAATATGCGCTAAAATGCTAAAATATATTTTTTATAGCGACTCAAATTGGATTTTACAAGCTAAAAAAAGTCTTCACAATTCTTTGCATAATCAATTTTATAGGATATTCAACAGATTGGATATATTGAGAGTAAGCTCCAATTATTGCTTTATTTATACTTTCATCAATGAGTATAATTATCAATTCGGAGTAATTCTTTAATTTTTTTCTTGACAATCTTTAATTAAAACATTATCCTGACAATCATCTCCTCAATATTCTCTAGTTTCGCGATTTCTGATTTTTGTTATTATATTTTTTAATTATGTACTTTGTGAAATAACTCTCTTTCTTAATAACACTTTCACAAAATTTGAATGTGTTAAACTGATACTTATTAGTCTTAAAGAACTACAAATTTGATAATTTCCTTGATATTAGTATTAAATTAAACAATTTCTTTTAAAAAACATAATTACTACAAATGTACTGTTTTGCCCATATTAATTGATATTTCTACACTCTTTATTCTAAAGGATATTAAATGTGAAATTTGGATATATGTTTGGGATGCCTTAATTAAAAAATAAAACATTTTTATTCTTTGTGAAGAAATATCTGCGCGCGTGATGTTAGAATTGAGAAATCCCGTTAATTTAGTACGAGTAAAATTGCTTCGCAAAATTTGGCACGATAATGCAATAGTCATCGGATTTATCTCGGTTGGCGACGCGTGGGTACACCAAAAATATTTCTCATAAGATTATTTAGTGTATATTATATTTCGGATATTATAAAATAATTTATCTTTCTTTACGCGAGGTAAATGCTATGCCAATCAAGCAATTTTCGATTTCGATTGATATTACAATTTAGCGACTGAGCAATGGAGCAATGAAGATAGAGAGATATACGATTCTGCGATTTTATAACGTTAGCAACGCAATTTTTTTCTTGAATCATATTGCATTGATTTGATTTTTAATTATCGCATATGACTCAAAATTGCATACTATTTAAAAGTATGCCTGCATTAAAAACAGCAAATACAGCCCGAAATCATACTAACAATAAAATATTTATTTATTAAATATTTATATAAGAATGATAATACGAAAATTATTTTTATGATATAAATATATGATTTAAATGTTACGAATGGACATTTGGTTTCCAATTATTAAATACTTTTTTTTTTAACTATGTGTATGTATATATATATATATATATATATATATATACATATATATGCAATTGCAGTGTACGATATGAAATAAAATGGCACCCGATTCAAATGGAATTGTGCATTTACGATATAAAATCATGCACAATTCCAAATTACATCAGCGATAAAATAATCATAATGCGATATTCACATTCACTTAAGAAGATTGCAATTATGATGAATTTATGTAAATCGAACATCTAAATGGAAAAGATATATCTCTTAATTTTTCTTTTTTTTCTGCGCCTGAAAAGTGCGCGAACGGTAAGTAATGAATCGTCCGCACGAGAGAAGCCAAAAGGAGCGACCTGATATATTTTTACATCATTCTAGTTGCATGCTAGATAGAGTCGCGTTGTAACGGTTTGCAACCACGGAACGCGTAGGCAGTGGCCTAAGAACGGCAATATGTTGCCCTATTTCAAACTTGGAATATCACCCGATAGACGATTACACGACGAAATAGTTCGAGCGAGGCCAATTTTCGTTTTTGTTTCAGCGTGAATATAGTATTGGAATTATACTATTTCTCTATTTTTATCATGCAAATATAAAAGTATTGTATACTATTTACGTAAACAACTATTATAATGACTGTCATTCTATCTTTTTCTCTTTATCTTTCTATCTTTCCATAAGTACGAATTTATTTTTATATATTATACTATCTACACTGAATACTGTTAATTTTATACATTTTCCTTATACCTATATATTATTTGTTTTACGACAATACAGCATCTTGAAAATCCTTCGAATGTGTTGATTATTAGAGAGACATAATTATTAAAATTTAATGATTTTTCGCAAGTTTTGATATATAAATAATAGTGACTAATGTTTCGTCGCTAAATGAACACTATATAAAACTAGAAACAGATGATGCGCTCCTTTAATTAAAAAATTTCTTATAATATCACATAATATTTTTAAGGATTTTTCATATTTTAAATTTATGAAGATTTCTAAAAAATATTTTACATTTCAGATTTTATAAGTTTTCATAGGAAATTATAGACTGAGAAATCTTAAAATATTTCAGAATTTACATACATGCAATTTTGATAGAGATGTAGATTTTCTTAGCATTTTAAATAAATGCTGAAACAGGTAAAAAATTTAATAAATTTTCTAAAAAGTAATAATAATTATATAATAGTTTTGAAAAAGTATGTGAAGAATTCTAAGAAAATATTTCATTAGGGACAACTATATCTTTTTTACTATGCTTTGTCGAAAAGTCGATGAATGAATGCATTTAGTGAATGTAATTATTTCTTTAACATATCTATAGGCCGTGTCAAAATTATCAATAATCGCACGATATAATAATATTTGCACGATCTTCGTATAAACGACAACGTGAAGAGATCGCGGAATTCACTTATAACATATTTCATTTTTCGTCGGCGTCGCCGCTCTATTTTTGCATACGTCGTCTTTCTAGCTGGTTTAGCAATTGCGGAGAGGAAGTCTTTATACTGAGACGGAAGAACCAATTCTCTTCAAGTCCGCCGACCGTTCTTCGTCGTGCGTATATTGGTGGTTTTGCCTAATACGGTGTAAAGGTTTCCTTATTAATCATCATGGTAAGGCTAAAGAGATAATCTCGGAAATAGTTTATTTAGCAAAAACAAAACTTGTGAATTAAACATTCGATTCGTAGAAATCATATAAAAAATTTTACATTAAAAAACAACATATAAACTAAAATATTAAGTAGTGCTATCTATGAGAAAAATTCTTATTTTCCAGGTAAAAAAATAACTAAAAAATTATAATAATTTAAAAATTATTGTAAAGAGATCATCTCAATTTATTAGTATTTACTATTTATAATCTTTTTCTATTATAAGTAAAAGTAAACTCGAAATTTTCTATTTGGACATTCACAGGAGGAAGATGATCAAAAAGTGGCTGTGATGCGTAAGGCGTTTCAAATGTTCGATACAACAAAAAGTGGTTTCATTGAGACTATGAAAATCTCAACGATATTAAATACAATGGGACAACTGTTTGACGATGGCGAATTAAATACTTTGATCGAGGAGAATGATCCCGAAGGTGCTGGCAAAGTAAATTTTGATGGTTTTTGTAAGATCGCCGGTCGGTTTCTTGAAGAGGAGGATGCGGAAGCAATGCAGGAAGAATTGAAAGAAGCATTTCGATTGTACGATCGTGAAGGTAATGGATATATTACCACAGCTACATTGAAAGAAATTTTAGCGGCGCTTGACGATAAACTTACCAGTTCCGATCTTGATGGAATAATCGCGGAGATCGACACGGATGGTTCCGGTACAGTAGATTTTGACGGTATGTAATATATTATATATTATACAACATAAAATATGTAGAAAATATTAATATATATTATAATATGGTTAATGTATTTGTACGTATAAATTTTGTATTTATATATTTAAATAATATAATGTGTGTGTATGTGTGTGTGTGTGTGTATGTGCGTGCGTGCGTGCGTGCGTGCGTGCGTGCGTGCGTGCGTGCGTGCGTGCGTGCGTGCGTGCGTGCGTGCGTGCGTGCGTGCGTGCGTGCGTGCGTGCGTGCGTGCGTGCGTGCGTATGTGCGTGCGTGTAAGAATGAAGGAAAACTTATAATACAACCGGACGAAGAGACAATTCCTTGTACAAAAAATAATTAGTCAAAAGTGCATAATAAATATTAAATACATATGTATATAAAATATACACATATTTTCAATTTTTAAGACAAAATAGTTCAATTTAATTTTTGAAATAAAATACTTCGAAAGGTGTTAAAATTTTCGTTGAAATGTCTACTTTTTTATGCTGTATGGTCTTTTTAAAAATTCAAGATGGCAGATCCAGAATCGCGACTAGAATGGACTGTCGTCAAAAAATTTTTGAAACAAACTTTAATTATTGAAACACAGGGGGTTAGAAAATTTTCCTATTTCCATAAATATAATTAAGGTTTTTGAGGATCACTGAATACGAATTCGCAGTCATAATTATAAAACAATGGTGAATCTAATATGCCGGCCAAACTCAGCCAATCTTCAAATAATGCAAATTCTTTGCACAAGACTCATCAAACTGTAGTTTTTTGGGTCGCTATAATCATGGAATTTTCAGTTATTAAAGCAGGATTCGGGATATCGAATCCAATATGGTAGATGGAATATGGCTCAGTGCATCTCGTAACGTTCAAGTTGGAAGATTTTTTTGGATATCAATGTGTAGACATTGGTTTATTGGGTTTCTGATTACAAATTATTTTTAATTAAAGTTTAAGGCTGTTGAACCAATATGGTAGATAAAATATGAAAATAATGGAATTTGCATTATTTGAAGTTTGATCGTCATATTGGATTTGCTATTGTAAATTTTATAATTATGACTGCGGATTCGTATTCACGACCCCCAAACCTTAATTTATGGAAATAGAAAAATTTTTTAGCCCCCTGTGCTTCAGTAATTAAGTTTGTTCTAAAAATTTTTTAACGACATTTCATTCCAGTCATGATTCTGGATCTGCCATTTTGAATTTTTAAAAAGACCATACAGCATCAAAAAAATGTTAAGACCTTTTGAAGTATTTTATCAAAAATTGAAGTGGGCAAAATGGGTGGCCCGCTTGACAGAGAATGCCCCATATATATACAGGGTGTCTCATAATAGGTGTATCACCGTTCATAGGTAGGTTGAACGGACTAAACTGAATCGAAAAGTCCTCTACCATTTTGCAAAATTCGCAATCGTAAACGAGACATTAATTTTTAAAGATTGACGAATAAACGCGTAT